AGGTCCAGGGCTGGGGGAGGACTGCTCCTTTCCCTCATGAGCCCCTCAGGACAGAGTCCACTGCTCTCTATGCTCATTAAATGTGAATCTGAGTAAAGCATCAAACCCTGGGTCAGGCAGGTCCTGGTTGGGAGAATCTGCAATCACATCAGGGGTTGGGGTGAAGGGCAGAGGGCAGTCCTAGACCCAGAGCTATAGCAGCAGTCCTGGTGGGGAGGTCCAGCATGGGGGGATGGGGAGGAGGGAGGACCCCTGCATTTGGTTAACCACTGTGATACTGTTATATCTGTGACAACTGTGATACAGTTTTCAGACATGCTTCTAAGGGATCTGTAGGCCTGGGACTGGCCACATCCAGGAAGAGGAAGCTGCCACAAGGCCTCTCCATTTTCATAATGGCTAGAGGGTCAAGCCCAGAGAGGAGGTGTCTGCAGGGTTTAGCAGGCCTGGCCGGAAAGCTGGATCCAAGGGGAAGCTGCTAGTCAGCCACAAGGAGCTTCAGCCTTTGGATGATTCTCACTGATATTGGTCTGCAGTGTTTTAATGCATAATAATACTGCCAGTAATGGCCAGCATTGATTGGTACTAAGCACTGAGCTGCTAAACTGTTTGCATGCAGTTTTTCATTTGATCTTCACAATGATTCATTCTATAAAGGAGGGACAATGTGGAAACCGAGGTTCACCTAGGGAAGTTCACACAGCCTGTAAGTGGCAGCAAACCTCTGAAGTAGGACTGGTGTCAACTTCAGAGTCCATACCCCTAACTAAGAGTGCTGTTCTGAACTGCCTCTCAGGCAGGAACAGGCTCTAATAAATGGCACCTGAGGGCTCCTTTAAGGAAAAAGGAAAAAAAAAAAAAAGTGTCTAGTGAACACCTACTTTGTGCTAGGTATTTGCATTTATAATCTCTTGCATTCCTTGTGACGGTCCTATGAGGTAAATAATCTCAGCTCCAATTTACACACCAGAAAACTGGGACTCAGGAATGGTAACTGATTCACTCTAACTATGAATCCCAGGTCTGTTCTCTTTCCACCAGGCTGATCTGAATGTGTTTCTTTGTGATTCTCACTCAACTTCAAGGACTCCTATAGCCCCTAGCGAAACCATTTTTAAAAGGAGAGAGAGAGAGACAGAGAGAGAGAAAGCCCCTTGGAAATACCATGGGACCAAGGAGAAGAGGGTCATAAGTTCAGGTTGAGCAGTGACATTCCAGAGAAATTTCTACAAATCCCCAAATCCTAAGAATTACTGACCCACATTTAGAGAATCTTGTTTTCAGAGCCATTAGCCCCAAGTGCTCTGAGATATAAAGCCACCTGTTTTGAAAATCCTGCAGGGGGAAACATCAGACCAAGAGTCAGGAAAAGTGTGCCTCAGTTCTCCCCTGAGTTCTCTGGGTAACTTCTATAAATGAATTATCTACTCTGGGCCTCCGTTTCCTAACAAGACCTCTTAATAACACTTCCAACTCTATTCCCTGATTCTGCAGTCAAATCTAACTTAGCCTATGAAAGCAGCACCTATTACAGGTGTCCTTATTAACAGTTTGTTACTAACATTAGGTGTGCCAAATTAGAGACTGAATCAAGTGACATCACTCTTAATCATGATAATGAATGAGCAGGAGAGAAAGGACGGAATTTTAACCAGCACCAGGAATCACACAGATACAAATTACTGGTGCTCAAAGGTGGATGTAGGTGAAGAGACCAAGATTTGCAAAACTGAGGCATAAGTGCCATTTGCACTAGGTATTGAAGAACAAGGAGTTTTCCATGAAAACGGGCCTTCCAGGCAGAGAACACATTAGATCCCAATGGTCTTTTCCAACCAGGAAGACATTACTCTGTTCAGTGGATAATAATTGAGCCAGTATCCTCAGAGGAGGCCTCTTGAGTCTATGCTACCCTTGCCTGGGTTCACAGTTCACAATGAAAACAGGGCAGGCAGGCTCCTAATATGCAGGGAGGATGAGTTCTGGGATTGCAGTTTCCAGGGACTGCTGGGAACAAAGAACATTCTCTTTCCTTCAGCAACTTCCGTCCAGAGTCCAAGACCTTGTCCAGCTATGCTTTGTTCCCTGCCCAGTCTTGTCCAGTCATAGGAGCCCAGCCCAGTCCTGCTGAGTCCTGCCCAGTTCTGATGACTTCTGCCCTGTCCAGACTTTGCCCAGACCAGTTCGGCACAGCAGAGCCATACTGTGCTCTGCCCAGTGCTGTCTGTTCCTGCCCAATTCTGCCTTGCCAAACTAAGCCCTGCTCAATCCAGTTTATGTTCTGCTCACAAGCCCTGCCTGGCCTAGCCCTACCCTGCCCCCACCATGCCTCACCCAGCCCTGTCAGCCCTACCTTGATCTAGTTCAGGACTACCCCCTCCACCATCCAGGCTTGAAAGAAGCCTCTTTTCTCCAAGATGTCCTCCTCCCTAGGGCTATATCTGGAGACTTTATAAGAGAGAGCCTTAAGAAACCCTCTACTGCATCTATTGTAAAAACATTGTTGAGGACACTGCTTACTATAGAGATTCTTTATGGAAATCTTTAGGAGAAGTTCTCTCTGTCAATAATAGGAACTGTGCTTCTGTCCATTGATGACATGTTTTAAGCTCAAGGCACCGTGACTCTAGGGTAGCTCTAATTGCAGGGTATTGCCAGCCAGCCAGGAGCAAACACACACCCACCTTTACAAGTGTAGAGGTTTTCATGGTATGCATTTATTCATAGCTTTTTTGCATCTTATAAGGTTGAACTTTTTTTTCCTCTTTGCCTTTTTTTTATGGTTAATTTCTTTTTCTTTCGAAGCTACCCAGAATTCTTCTTAGAAAGAAGCTGGGCCCCAATAATAAGAGACATGTATTATTCTCCCACTCCTTAGTGCCCTCTGTTCTTTCACACACCTGGATAAGCCATGTGGAAAAGCACATGGGGTTCCATTCCACACACAGTCCTTCCAGTCAGAAGGAACTCAGCAGGGAGCGATTACTTCCATGCAGGAGAGCAACCTTGTAAATGCTTATAAACTGGTTCTACTTGCTTTAGGGACTTTATGAGAATCAGGTTTGAAAAACAGATCTGCAAAAGATAAATGATTGACAGCTTTAGGTTCCTAGAAGTAGAGCTCATAAAGTGAGTAATCATTGTCAGATTATTATCTTAAGGCAGATGTAGGGAGAAACTGTGCAGACACAGAAAGAAACAAATAAACAAAACCAAGTAAGCATCGATTTGCATGCAGTGGGCCAGATGTACACTCCAATGTCATCTTCGCCAGAAATGAAAAGGACCAGAATTAATGGGGGGCCCACAATGGGAAGAGTTTGTGATGATACAAAGGGTAGAAGAAATGATTTTACACTCAAAGACCTCACATTCTTTGTGAGAGGTAAAGTCAGGGAGATAAAAAAAAAAAAATTACAAAGTTTTCTGTGCTGAGTGTCCACTTGGCAATGGAAGAACATATGGAAAGCTTTAAATCAAGGAGGTTTTAGGAGCTTCATGACTCTACTGCCAAGAATGGATGGAGGCATGCAGAAACTAGAGTAGAAGTCCAGCTATCCAGAACTCTAACAGCTATCCGGGAGCCCAAAGCAGGGTTGTGACAGCAGTGGCATAAAGGAAGTGATAAATGCCAACATGACCAGGGACAGAATAGAAGGGGGTCTAGTACATGCCTTTCATCTATACAGATTCAGGGAGTGTGTATGTACACATGAGAGGGAAGAGAAATTGAAAATGTGCAGACTTGGAGGAGTTAAGATACCAGAATAGTATGGAGACCCTGAGCTTGTCTCATCCTTTGAACACAGCTAGATCAACATCACACCATTTTGAACACCTAGGAAATTGATCTGAGGGTTAACGCAACAATCTGCATAATTTGAGCGAGAGACCTTGGCAGAAAGAGCAAATTTTTTATTCTATTTTATTTTCTTCATTCTATTTTATTATTCTTAAAAAATAAAAACGTTTTTAAGAGGAGGAGCTAAGATGGTGGAGTAGTAAGGGGACCCTGGGCTTGTCTTGTCCCTTGAAAACAGCTAGATCAACATCAAATCATTTCGAACACCTAGGAAATTGATCTGAGGATTAACAGAACAATCTGCATAATTTGATCTACTTTATTCTATTTTATTATTTAAAAAAAAACTTTTTTTAAGAGGAGGAGCTAAGATGGTGGAGTAGTAAAGGTACCCTGGGCTTGTCTTGTCCCTTGAATACAGCTAGATCAACATCAAACCATTTTGAACACCTAGGAAATCCATCTGAGGATTAACAAAAAAATCTGCATAATTTGGGGGAGAGAATGCAGCAGGTACATGGCATGGAGAGGTGAACTGGGAAAGAGAAGAGATGGTGCCCAAGAGGTGTGGGAGCTGTCTTTGTGAAGAGGAGAAAGACAGAGGGGGAGAGAGAGCAGGGTATCAGGTTTGCACAAGAAAGCTTTCCCCCTGAAAGCAGCTAGAGAGAAAGAGCAAAAACGCACGCAGGGGACTACGCAAGAAAACTCTTCCCCAAAATCATTGACAGGGAAAATGGAGAAGGTTTCTATACAGCCAGTTTTTTGATAAACAGTGGAGCAGAGTCTGAAGTTTCAGAGGTCAGCACCTGGTGGTGCTCTGGCAAGGAAGCAGGGGGAGCCCTGGGAGCAGAGAGTGCAGTCTGAGGATCCCCTGGGTCATGTGAGAATAGATTCTCCTGCTTAGAGTGCATTTGGTAGAGGTGATATGGCCTCTCCAGGCAAAAGACCCAGCAGGAACCATAAAGCCACAATCACCCATATAGAAACAAAGATGCCAGCTAAGGGCAGCAAACCCTGGCACTGGCTGTGTGTTGCGATTTACCATAAACTCTGAGTGGCTGCCGCTGTACGGTGGGGCGACCATTTCCTGGAACAGGCCAGCTCTGGCCACAGCATCGCCAGACCCTCCCTCAGGGGATCACTTTGAGTCCAAGCCACAAGGGTCTCTTTAGTGTGGGGTTTTGAAACACAGCTGCACCTGAGATAAAACTCTAGAGGGAGGTGCTGCCTGGTAGGTGGGTAGCTCAGATACAGATGGGAGAAGGCAGCAGCTGACAGAAGCAGGGGAAACAGGAATGGTGACTGATCACATGTCAGTGAGGCTGAGAACTTCCTTGTTGGGAGAATAGAGAGCAGGGGGAAGCCATTTACACCATTAGCCAGCCAGCACTGATCAACCCCAGTGAGTTAAAGAGCACCACCAAGTGGAGAATGGAGCCCTTACACCAAGCCCTGCACCTTTGTGCCCTCCAGGCAAATCACTAGGGCAAGTAGGCCTGAGAAACAGAGCAGCAGGACCCTCCCCCAGAACACCAGCACAATTCCCTTCCAGAGCTTATTCTACTGACCATAAACTGCTGCAAAGTTTCAGCTCTAGGGGAAACTGAACCTAGCTTCATTTGTTTTGTTTTGTTTTGTTTGTTTGTTTATTCACTTGTTTCTTCATTTTGTTGTTTTTCTTTTCTTTTGTTTCTTGGATACAGAAAGAAGAAAATTTTTATGTTATTTTATTTTTTTAATTACTTTTTGATTTTTTTTTCTCTCTTCTCTTTTCTCTTTTTTCTATCAAGCTTCTCTTAACAAGCAGGCCAAAATACACCTAGGATCTAGCTTCCTTTATTGATTTTTTTAAATTTTTCAATTTTTGTTTCATTCCATTATTATTTTATTTTTCTTCCTCCAAAATGACAAGACAGATAAATTCACCTCAAAAGAAAGAACAGGAAGAAATGATTTCCATGGATTTAATCAATGCAGATGTAAGTATGATGTCTGAACTAGAATTTAAAACAATGATTACAAGGATACTAGCTGGGCTTGAAAAAGCATAGAAGATACCAGTGATTCCCTTTCTACAGACATTAAAAAACTAAAATCTAATCATGATGAAATTAAAAATGTTATAACCAAGATGTAAACCCAAATGGAGGCCATAAAAACAAGGATGGACAAGGCAGAGGAGAGAATTAGCAATTAGAAGATAAAATTATGGAAAATAATGAAGCTGAGAAGAAGAGGGAAACAAAGGTCAGGGGTCATGAATACGGACTTAGAGAACTCAGCAATTTATTAAAACATAATAACATTTGTATCATAGGAGTCCCAGAAGATGAAGAGAGAGAAAAGGGGGCAGAAGGTTTATGTGAGCAAATTATAACTGAAAACTTCCCTAATATGAGGAAGGACAAAGACCAAAATCCAAGAGGTACAGAGAATTCCCATTAAATTCAACAAAATCCAGCCATTGCCAAACATATCATAGTCAAATTCACAAAATACACAGACAAGGAAAGAATCATGAAAGCAGCAAGGGAAAAAAATGCCCTTAACTTACAAGGGAAGACAGATCAGGTTCACAGCAGATCTCTCCACAGAAACTTGGCAGGCCAGAAAGGAGTGGCAAGATATATTCAAAGTGCTCAATTGGTAGAACATGCAGCCAAGAATACTCTAGCTAGCAAGGCTGTCATTCAAAATAGAAAGACAAATAAAGAGTTTCCCAGACAAACAAAAACTAAAGGAGTTCATGAGCACTAACCCAGCCCTACAAGAAACTGTAAGGGGAACTCTGCAGTGAAGAAAAAAAAAAAAAAAAGACCGGGGCGCCTGGGTGGCGCAGTCGGTTAAGCGTCCGACTTCAGCCAGGTCACGATCTCACGGTCCGTGAGTTCGAGCCCCGCGTCGGACTCTGGGCTGATGGCTCAGAGCCTGGAGCCTGTTTCCGATTCTATGTCTCCCTCTGTCTCTGCCCCTCCCCCGTTCATGCTCTGTCTCTCTCTGTCCCAAAAATAAATAAACGTTGAAAAAAAAAAAAAAAAAAGACCAAAAGCAACAGACACTAGAAAGGACCAGAGAGCATTATCAGAAACACCAACTCTATAGGTAACACAATGGCCCTAAATTCATCTTTCAATGATCACTCTAAATGTAAATGGATTAAATGCTCTAATCAAAAGACATAGGATATCAGAATGGATAAGGAAAAAAAAACAAACAAAATCAATTTATATGCTGCTATAAGAGACTCGTTTTAGACCCAAAGACACATGCAGATTGAAAGTGAGGGGATGGAGAACCATCTATCATGCTAATAATGGACGTCAAAAGAAAGCCAGAGTAGCCATACTTAATCAGATAAACTAGATTTTATATTTACTTATTTTTCAGAGACAGAGCATGAGAAGGGGAGGGGCAGAGAGGGAGAGGGAGACACAGAATCCAATGCAGGCTCCAGGCTCCAAGCTGTCAGCACAGAGCCCAATGCAGGGCTTGAACCCATGAACTGTGAGATCATGACCTGAGCCAAAGTTGGACGCTCAACTGAGTCACCCAGGCGCCCCCAGATAAACTAGATTTTAAAACAAAGATTGTAACAAGAGATGAAGAAGGGCATTATACAATAATTAAAGTGTCTTCCACCAAGAAGATCTAGCAAATGTAAATATTTATGCCCCAACTTGGGAGGACTGAATTATATAAATCAGTTAGTAACAAAAATAAACTCATTAATAATACAATAACATTAACACCCCACATACAACAATGAACACATTATCCAACAGAAAATCAACAAGGAAACAACGGTTTTGAATGACACACTGGACCAGATGGACTTAACAGATATGTTCAGAACACTTAATCCTAAAGTAGAATATACATTTTCCTCAAGTGTACATGGAATATTCTCCAGAATAGATCACATATAATTTGCTCTCCAGAACAGATCACAAATCAGCCCTCAACAAGTACAAAATGATCAAGATCATACCTTGCATAGTATCAAACCACAAAGCTATGAAACTTGAAATCAACTACAAAAAAATTTGGAAAGACCACAAATACTTGGAGGTTAAACAACATTCCACTAAAGAATGTATGGATTAACCAAGAAATTAAAGAGGAAATATAAGAGTACATGAAAACCAATGAAAATGAAAACACAACAGTCCAAAACCTATGACATGCAGCAAAGGCAGTCATAAGAGGGAGGTATTTAGCAATCAAGGCCTTCCTAAAGAAGGACATAATGTCTAAACTACACAACCTAACCTAACACCGAAAGGAGCTGGAAAAAAAAGGGCAAATAAAGCCCAAAACCAGCAGAGAAGTGAAATCTGTTCTAATCAGCAGAAATCAATTACATAGATCAAACAAACAAACAAACAGAAACAGCAGAACAGATCAACAAAACTAGGAGCTGGTTCTTTGAAAGAATTAACAAAATTGATAAACCCCTAGCAAGACTTACCAAAAAGAAAAAGGAAAGGATGTAAATAAATAAAATCACAAATGAAAGAGGAGAGATCACAACCAACACTGCAGAAATACCAACAATAATAAGAGAATATTATGAGCAATTATATGCCAACAAGTGAAGCAATCTATAAATTCCTAGAAATATATAAACTACCAAAACTGAAACAGGAAGAAACAGAAAATTTGAACAGACCCATAACCAGCAAAGAAATTGAATCAGTAACCAAAAATCTCCCAACAAACAAGAGAACAGGGCCAGATGGCTTCCAGGGGAATTCTATCAAACATTTAAAGAAGATTTAATACCTATTCTTTTGAAGCTGTTCCAAAAAAATAGAAATGGAAGGAAAACTTCCAAACTCATTCTGAGACCAGCATTACCTCGATTCCAACACCAAAGACCCCACTAAGAAAGAGAATTCCAGACCAATTTCCCTGATGAACATGGATACAAAACTTCTCAACAAGACACTAGCAAATTGAATCCAACATTACATTAAAAGAATTATTCACCACAATCAAGTGGGCTTTATTCCCTTGCTGCAGGGGTGGCTCAATATCCACAAATCAAGAAACATGATACATCACATTAATAAAAGAAAGGATAAGAACTACATGATCCTCTCAATAGAGCCAGAAAAAAGCATTTGACAAAACACAGCATTCTTTCTTGGTAAAAACCCTTAAAAGGTTGGGATAGCCTGAACATCATGAAGGCCATATACAAAAGACACAACTAATATAATCCTCAATGGGGAAAAACTGAGAGCTTTCCTCCTAAGGTCCAGAACACGACAGGGATGTCCACTCTGACCACTGTTGTTCAACATAGTCCTGGAAGTCCTAGCCTCATCAATCAGATAACAAAAAGGAATCAGAGGCATACAGATTAGTAAGGAAGACGTCAAACTTTCACTCTTCACAGATGACATGATACTCTATGTGGAAAACCTGGAAGACTCTGCCAAAAAACTGCAAGAAATGATGCATTAATTCAGCAAACTTGCAGAATATAAAATCAATGTACAGAAATCTGTGGCATTTCTGTTTACCAATAATGAAGCAGGAGAAAGAGAAATCAAGGAATCGATCCCATTTGCAATTGCACCAAAACCTACAAGATACTTAGAAATAAACCTAACCAAAGAGGTCAAAGACCTGTACACTGAAACTTATAGAAAGCTTATGAAATAAATGTAATAACACACAAAGAAATGGTAAACCTTCCATGCTCATGGATTGGAAGACAAATTTTGTTAAAATGTCAATACTACCCAAAGCAGTCCACGCATTCAATGCAATCCCTATCAAAATATCACCAGTATTCTTCACATAACCAGAAGAAACAAGTCTAAAGTTTGATTGGACCCAGAAAAGACCCTGAATAGCCAAGGCAATGTTGAAAAAACAAAACAAAACAAAAAAAAAAAAAAAATGAGGAGTGCCTGGGTGGCTCAGTCAGTTAAGCACCAAACTCTCGCTTTGGGCTCAGGTCACGATCTCACGGTTTCTTGAGTTTGAGCCCCATGTTGGGCTATGTCCTGACAGTACAGAGCCTGCTTGGGACTCTCTCTCTCTCTTTCCTTCTTTCTCTTCCCCTCCCCCACTCATGCTGTCTCTCTCTCTCAAAATAAATAAATAAACTTAGAATTTTTTTTTATTAAAAAAAAAGGAAAAAACAACAACAACAAAGCTGTAGGCATCACAATGCCAGACTTGAAGCTGTATTACAAAGCTGTATTCATCAAGACAGTATGGTACTGGTGCAAAAACAGACACATAGATCAGTGGAACAGAATACAGAACCCAGAAATGGACCCACATATGTATGGCCAACTTATCTTCGACAAAGCAGGAAAGAATAGCAAATGGAAAAAAGACCATTTCTTCAGCAAATGGTGCTGAGAAAACTGGAGAGTGACATGCAGAAGAATGAAACTGGACCACTTTCTTACACCATACACAAAAATAAATTCAAAATGGATGAAAGACCTAAATGTGAGACAGGAAACCATCAAAATCCTAGGGGAGAAAACAGCAACCTCTTTGACCTCAGCCGCAGCAAATTTTCATTAGACATGTCTCCAGAGGCAAGGGAAATAAAAGCAAAAATGAACTATTGGGACCTTATCAAGATAAACCTTCTGGGGCACACGGGTGGCTCAGTCAGTTGAGCGTCTGACTTCGGCTCAGGTCATGATCTCACAGTTTGTGAGTTCAAGCCCCACATCGGGCTCTGTGCTGACAGCTCAGAGCCTGGAGCCTGCTTCAGATACTGTGTCTCCCTCTCTCTATCTGCCCCATCCTCACTCATGCTCTGTCTCTCTCTGTCTTAAAAATAAATAAAACATTAAAAATAATTTTTTTAATAAAAAAAAGATAAAACCTTCTTCACGGGAAAGAAAACCATCAACAAAACTAAAAGGCAACTGATAGAATGGGAGAAGATATTTGCAAATGACATATCAGATAAAGGGTTAGTATCCAAAATCTATAAAGAACTTATCAAAGTCAACACCCAAAAGACAAATAATCCAGTGAAGAAATGGGCAGAAGACATGAACAGACACTTTTCCAAAGACATCCAGATGGTTAACAGACACATGAAAAGCTGCTCAACATCACTCATAATCAGGGAAACACAAACCAAAACCACAATGAGATACCACTTCACACCTGTCAGAATGACTAACATTAACAACTCAAGCAACAACAGATGTTGGCAGGGATGCAGAGAAAGGGGAACACTTGTGCACTCTTGGTTGGAATGTGAACTGGTGCAGCTACTCTGGAAAACAGCATGGAGTTTCCTCAAAAAATTTAAAATAGGGGCACCTGGGTGGTTCAGTCAGTTGAGCATCCAACTTCACCTCAGGTCATGATCTCACAGTTTGTGAGTTCAAGCCCCACGTCAGGCTCTGTGCTGACAGCTCAGAGCCTGGAGCCTGCTTCAGATTCTGTGTCTCCCTCTCTCTCTGCTCCTCCCCAACTGACTCGCTCTCTCTCGCTCTCTCTCTCACTCTCTCGCTCTTGCTCTCTCTCAAAAATAAATATTTTAAAAAATTAAAAATAGACCTACCCTATGACCCAGCAATTACACTACTAGGTACTTATCTAAAGGATATAAAAATGCTGATTCGAAGAGACACATGCACCCCAATGTTTATAGCAACACTATCAACAATAGCCAAGTTTTGGAAAGAGCCCAAATATCCACTGACTGATGAATTGATAAAGAAAACATGGTGTATACACACACACACACACACACACACACACACACACACACACACAATGGAATATG